ACCACACCACAGGGAGGGGGAGGAGGGGGGAGGGGGGGGGAGGGGGGGAGGCCGGCCGAACCGGGATCATATATACCATCATTCCCGAGGGTCCAAGTTATGGTATAGCATATACATCGGGGGCCCAAGTACCTACAAAGTAGCTGCCATATTAGTACTTGGACCCTTTGGGGTTTGCATATGGGTAGTTCTCTAAATTAGGGTCCCTTTTAGGGCCCTGATTTATAAGGGTGCCGTACTATATTGGGGACCTAAAGCCCTAAACCCTAAACCCTGAAGCCTAAACCCTGATAAAGGGGACCTGACTTAGAAAACTACCCACATGCCCCTGCAGCCCGGTCGATCCTAAGCCTGCACTCCTCTGTGAATCTTCTAAACCCCAGGCAGCAAATCCTGGGCCTGCGCTGAACCCTAAACCCCTAAACCCTAACTTTAAACCCTTACACCCCTAAACCCCTAAACCCATAAACCGTAAATTCTAACCCTAAACCCCTAAACCCCTAAACAATATAATCCCTAAACCCCTAAACCCCTAAACAATATAATCCCTAAACCCTATAAACCCATAAACCCTAAACAATATAAACCCTATAAACCCTAAACTCCTAAACCCTAAGAGCTTCTGGGGCGGCCTGGGTGATTCGAAACCTGACTTCCCAAACGCTCATCTCGAAGTATCAAAGACCTCTTACAATATCTGGAGCACATATTCCGAGTGTTTGTAATCCTTTCCTCGTAAAATTCAATGGGAAGGGCCCCCCCCCGATCTCAACGCGGAAAGTGTCTTTACTACTAGGTTGCATTTTATCCCTATAGTGGTACCCTCAACCCTGAACCCTACACCCTATCCGGATCTCGCTCTTGCTCCTGCTCTTTTGCACCTGCTCCTGGGCTTGCTCTTACTCCTGCAGGTTTCAGCTCCTGCTCTTGCTTTTGCTCTTACTGCCACTGCTGCTCTTTCTGCTGAACCTGCTCTCGTTCTTGCTCCTGCTCGTTCTCTTCCCCTTGCTCTTGTCTTGCTCCTGGTCTGGCTCCTCCTCTTCTCTTGATGCTGAACCCCCTCTTGCAAACTAGGTGCTAAAGGGCGGGGATGACTTCGGGAGGATTGGCCGCAAGGTGTTTTATAATTAGGGAATGTTTAATAAAAGGGGGATGATTAATCCCCAAAAAAACCTTATATAAAACCCTAAAGCCCTAAACCTTCATAAGAAAAGATTCAACCAGTTGACGACAGCCTGTATCTTGTACGACTTCTTGTACCTGAGTTGGCCGCGCTGCCGTCGTTGAGGTTAGCCCTAGGGTCCAAGTACTCAAACAGTAATGCTGTAGACGCCCAAAACCATTCAAAGCATAATATTGGGACCTAAAACCATCCTGTTTGGGTACTTGGACATTCTGGGTAATAGGAGTTCAGGGGTTGGGTGCTTTACGGCTTCACCGCTGATACAGTAAAGCTTCAACCTCTGCGGCTGTAGCTTTTGGGGCTCAGACTTTTAGAACTTTAACGTTTAAGGCTTACGGCTGAACGATTTGTGTAAGTCAGGTCTTTGAGGCGTCAGGGATTCTGCGGGAGTGTGACCCACGGAACCTCACCCACCACCCACGACACTCCCGATACCTGATTGCTGCATCTCTACGCACGAACCCCAACACCTCCACCGTGCTCTCTGCGAAGCCCTAAACCATGCAGAGCAATTCAGCAAAGACACTTAGAGTAGTCGAAATGTTCCACAGCTTGCACCATGCACCAAACAAAGAAGACTGCCATGCCAAGAACTACCATTGTGCAGACCATGACAGCGACGATGTCCTGAGCAAGCGTTTACAGTTGATTGGTTGGGGCAAGGAACGCATGTACGGGGTTTAGAGCAAACCCCACATTCCGAAGGCCAAACCTACATGATACAATTCACCAGACCACACCTGAAATAACAAATCCAAGCCCACACAACCCGAAAGCCCGAACTTCAAGTTCTTTCTCAAGTATACAGTGTCATTCAGGACCCTTGGGTCATCATGATTTTGACATCTCTATTATAGAGATGTGAAAATCATGATGACCCAAGTGTCCTGAATGACAGCACATAGCTGGATCTGGGCGATTGCGACCCTTGCAGTCTGATCCTAGAAGCCTTACACGGTGACCCCTCAACCCAAACCCAACCTATTCCGCTCAGTTTCAGGGCATTCTTTATCAAACCTGGACCATACATACATATATACATACATACATACATACATACATACATGCATGCATGTGCTGAAAAAGATACAGACGCTTTTGTAAATAAACATGCATATGTAAATATCTACACAAAATGCGTGTGTGTGTGTACACACACATATATATGTATATATATATATATGTATACATATGAGATGTACATGTTTTGTAAAAAAAATATACAAGATTCTGTCCACGCATAATTATGCGATATTCGAAAACGGCATGTGCACGTGGGACGGCATGCCGATGAACCGAGATGTGAACTGAACTTAGATGGCATGGCCATGTGTCGAAAGTAGACGAGCACACTCACGGCACTCGCGTAAGGAGGAACCCGAAAGGGTACCAAAATGCAGCCATCGGCTCCCAAAGACCTTGTCCCCAAGTTCGGAGCCTCCTGCATGCAGCGTGACGCCAGTTTTGCGTCCTCAGATTGGAGAGTCGTGCAAGGGGTTTCTTATGGCGCTGCAACGCTACATATCTGTACCCGATACCGCAGGCCCAATTCCGAACCGGGGACGATACCACCACGGCTCAACCAGGTCCACAATCTCGGGACCAATATCAAGCACGGCTTTGGGCTTCTATGAAGTCAATGTCGACCCAACGTGCACATGTTCCCATACGTTTCCACACGCCCAACTCATACTTGAAAACACCATGCCGCTACGAACTGCCGAGCCAGGTTGCAACGCGCTGCAACATAAACAAGTACTTGCATGTGTTGGCATCAGCATGCTTCGTAATCGTTTTTTTTTCAGGGTTTGGGCAACACTTCTGCAAGCACAAAAGCTGTGGTCTCCCCAGCACTTGTTCTCCGGAACGGCCGTGCAGATGACATGACAGACCCCACTTGGCCTACGAACCTGACTTACGTGTGGAGCACCTTGCGACACATTGTGCTGGATTCAACGCATGTAGCTGCTTCGACGAAGCTGTGTGTTGCTCTGGCCGCAGCAACGCAATGTTGGACAAACAAAGGCGCGCTGACAAGGCGAGGGCGGGTATGTCGTAAGCCTAGCCAAGCCAAGGCCCACGTTCTGGATTGCAGGATTCCAAGACTGCAAACGTACATTGAGGTTTAGAAGAATGCATCTTCCGAGCTTGCTCGAGCCTCGTGGATCAGCCCTTTTTTGGGAGGGATGCGTGGATGAGCCCTTTTGGGAGGGACAATCTAGCATGGAGGCGTTTGTCCCATGACATCAACAGGGGTGCTAAACCCAGTCACCACCTAGGATATCCTAGGATGCATTGCTGCAAGGCGGTTTATTCTCCCCGAGTGTTCACAAAATTCACAAATCATGTTGCCTGACATCGCGCATGAAATGTCAACTAATCAAATCTTCGTCGACCGGACGTGCAAGACGGTTTCTGCCAATGCAGGTGCTGCAACCGATGCGGAATTCTTGGTAGAACAAAGTGATCGTCGCGAATTTCATCTGGCTGAGCCCAATGTACAGACACGAGTCGTGGCCTAAACCCAAAACCCTAAACCCTAAACCCTAAACCCCACTGATCCATGCACCCTTCCCATAAAGCGCCAGACAAGTCCTTAATTTCCAAACTTATCGAGTGTGCACAGCCCAGAAAGTCAAGACGAGGCAGTTGAAGTAGTGTAGGGGCCTGAATAACAACCTATGCTAGTTTGGGGATTGCTTATTATGATTATAGTATAATGGGCCCCAAAGCCCCATTTGAATTATTAAGGCCCTATATTAGTGCCTCACGTCGCGCAGGGATCTTCGCCTGATTTTCAACTTAGGGTTTCGGCTGTTCGGGTTTGTTCGTGATGTAGGGGCCTTAATAATTCGAATAGGGTATTGGAGCTTTCTAAACTATAACTATAATGAGGAATCCGTCAACATAGTATTAGTAATTATTTAGGCCCCATATAGTACGGGTCTGGTGTTGAAAGAAGTGCATGCCTACTTGAAGGCTCCAGCCCGCGAAGGATGCAATGGGTTGAGGTTTGCACCTTACAGCAACCCCTGCTCGTGACCTATGTCCGGGTTTAGGGTTAAGGGTTTCAGGTACAATATCCGAGCGAAGAAGACAAAGTGCTACAGTTCCAAGGCAAACGTCCACTGTCGCACGAACTTTGCTTGAAACTTGTGTGTGATGTTGTCTCAAAACGGTCTCGCTATTTCACACATGGCTCACACTAGGGCGTCAATGAAATCACGACGTAGTTGTCCGAAAATCAACCGAAGCCTTCTTGAAACAGTTCTCCGGCTGAGTCTCATCAGCGCGTCACCGGCGAATTCAACTATGGATGCCGAGCCATCTAAGCCCTAAGCCCAAACCCCTAAACCCTCAACCCCTAAACCTTAAACCCAAAACCCTGCAGGAACCCCAAACCCTAAAGTAAACATAGAATGAAGGACACCTCAGGCAGGAAGACCTGTACCCAAAAAGCCCTGAACGGCATTTGCGGTTTAGGATCTATCTAGGGTTTAGGGATCCTTTAACGCCGACTGAAAGGAGTTCACTACTCTAAACTGTACTAAGCCAAACTCTAAGCTCTGTTGCTGACTTATGTTAGAGTTTCGGGTTCAGTTGCCCTAATGCTCCAAAGGACCCAGTAATTAGGTACTTGGGTTATGGAGTTTTGTAGGTTTGTACTTTGGAAAGTATATGATTACTATAGGCACTTGGACCCGTAGGGTTATGTTTAGGATGTGGGGGTTTGGTCCAGGGCTTAAACTCACATATGTAGCAGAGATCCCGTTTGCATCCATTTGGGCACCTGGCTGATAATCATACCTAATTAAGCGGGAAAAACATTTTAGTGGGTTGCAGCTTATCTTGCGCATGACGAACATGGTGTCCGGCGTATTTCTTTCATGACCGTAAAGGTTCACGTGCATAAGTTTAGGGTTTAGGGTTTAGGGTTTTAGGGTTTTGACCCTGAAGTGCACATACTTATAAATCCCATTGCCCCATTACACTATGGCCTAAGTATCTACTAAAAACCGAAACCTTAAATTACATAGGGACATGGACCCCTAGCTTTGAACCCGAAACCCTAAACTACATAAGGACACGGACCCCTAACTTTTAGGTTTTGGCATACGAGCCCAGTAAGACAGGAAACAGAACAAGACCATCGCGGTGAAGGAACAATCAAAATCGTAGGTTTAGGGTTTAGGGTTTAGGGCCACATATTGGGGCTTGGGGCTTCGGTCTAGGATTTGTGGGCAATCCTGCATCTGCGGTGCCGTAGTTGAACAACGTCTATGCGAAGCCTTTGTTCTATTTGTGCATTTGCACTAAACTTCTTGCTGCTGTTTATTTGACGCTACATGCTGCCGCAATGTTGTGCTCGTTTCCGATGTACGCTCATTGCTGCTGACAGATACATGAATCATCTCTTGCTGAACGAGTTCCAGTTCTCATCGATTCTCTTCATACTTTACTAATTGTTGTTATGTCAACTTGTGTCATACGTTCTGATCCCGCCGGCATAATTCGTGATTCTGTGTTGCATGTTGACTCACCTCGTGAATCGTGTACTGCACTTTACATGGAGCCATCTTCCTGGTATTGCACTGCAAGCTACAACGTGTGCAGTTGGGTCTAGTTTAGGGTTCTATGCTCCTGGCCACGTGCAACGTGATACAGTTTGTTGCATGCGCATGAACTGCGGGTGTTCGGTATTGCACAGGCTGTAGTCAGAGTAGCCTGCATGTGCTATCGGAAATCCTCCTCTCGAAACCCATATACTGCACAACACACATCGAGTTAGCTCGAAATACAAGGGGCTTCTGCAATATGGGAGTTTCCGAAAATAGGGTACCTTATTTGGGGGGTCCTTATAATAATAAGGATCCCCTACTATTTGGGGGTACTATATTAGGGTCCCCTATTTTCGGAAACCCCCCATATCAGGTCCGCGCTGTGCCGTGACTAGTTGTACATGGCATTGTAAAGCACATGTATACTAGGTTTTTTTTTTCCTTTGCCGCTGTGATTGCATGTGTTGGTCAGATNNGCAGCCTTCTGAGGCTTCCCATTGAAGGATGAACGCTGTGATTTCTATTGCGAACAGGGGTTTGAACTCCATGTACGAAACACCTTCGAAGCCGACTAGACTGCAGATGGAGGGTCTAGGTATGGTCACGGTTTAGGGTTTAGGGTTATATGTAGAATGAAAGGTTCAGATAAAGGAATCTCTGCTGTAGCTGACACACTAGGGAAACGTTTAACTACGACATGTCATGATACCGGAAATTAAGCAATACCCGAAGCAAACTCAAACACTAATATTCAGACTCACTTGTGCGACAGATCGCTGAGGGCCTGCAACAGCGAACAGGGTATCTATGGCTATGGGTTATGCCGAAGCTTTCAAACCTCTTGCAACAGCCCAGAAACCACCCGACCACTTCTCCGAACTAAACCTACGCCCTGGGTGGCAAGCGTCGATCCTAGGTCCGATCTGTTGATGTGGCTGTGCCGTGCCCGGTGATGCATCATTTCGGGGGGGGGGGGGGGGGGGGTGGTATAGAAGTATAGAACTAACTAGTTATCACAACTAGTTT